ACGAGCGATGTCAGACCGAGGCCCGGGCCCCGGGCCCCGCGGCCGCCGCCATGCACGCGGCGCCGCGGGTCGGCGCGAGGCTGAAATCCCACCCAACTTTCTGAGCCGTCCGATGAGTCGGAGGCATCCGAAGGCCGTCGATCCGAGATTCGGCTGAAATGTGCAGAAAGTGCCCGGTACGTCCTTGCATCTTATAAGCTATGCACCATCAGTCGGAGTTGCAGACTGAGCACAAGTTCCTTGTGTGGCGCCACGAGCATGTCGGCGGGATGAAACACGCGTTTTCGTCTTGGCAGGAGGTGAGCAATGCAGCCTTTGTGATCTTTCATGTTTGTCTCATTTCTCACTTGGGGTGTCGTGCTAGTATACTGGTTACTGCAGATCAAGCACAACGCCGGAAGATTACAAAATTTAAGAAGTAATACTAGTTGGCCGTCTGCTGGTACACTTTCAGCTTTTCAGGCTCCGAGGGGTTCCAGGGTTTCAAAAGCACGCCACCGGGATTCATTTTTCTTGAATGGGTTCCAGAAGAACGCCACCAGGATTTCAACTCAAAGCTTCTCAGAGATTAGAGGAAGCTGTGTGGTACCTCTTTGAGATGCCAGTGGTGCCAAGCGAGGTGTCTCTGAGGTATCTTAGTACTCGAGATTGGCGTGTTACACTTTGATGTAGTGAGAGGCAATTTCTGGTGATTCGTAAGGGTCTGGCCGGCCCTTCAAGCATCTGCTCAGGCTCACCAAGGATTGTCACTCATCCAAGGTGGGTGTACCAAGAAATGATGTATTACTTCTTAAGACTATAATGGGTATTTTCTGGTACATCTTGCGTGGTATGGCCGACTCATCCAGCGTTGAGGTGTATAAGAAAAAGACGTATTACTCTTTAGAGAAGAATTGGGCGTTTTCTGGTACATCCAGGGGGGGGGGGTATGGCCGGCCCTGCGAACGTTGAGGTGTACCAGAAAACGATGTATTACTTCTTAAGAAACTAATGGGCGTTTTCTGGTACATCTCCGGGGGTATGGCCGGCTCTTCAGCACGCCGTGAGCACCATTCGGTCGTTATCAATCTGAATCGACCATTTTAGACTCCGGAGCCGCAAAGGATCTCTAAAGAGACTTTTTAGAGAAGCCTATGATATGCGTGCAAGCTTGCTTCGGCGTCAATGTCAACGTTAGAATCAGCTTCAGCTTCGGGATCTGGGGGATCGAAGATCATTATATAAAAGTCAACAGCAACAGTGTCAATGGAACCCAACAGCAACAGTGTCAATGGAACCCCCCCCCTTGCTCATGAACTCTCAAAAGAGACAAGGCAAGTTCAACTTGGGTTGCCTTGCAACACCTAGACCAGTCTCTCGAAGATGGTGGATGTGATGGCGAGTGCTACAATATCATAAAAAAGCTTTGCATCTCTACATACGCCTGGATCGTTGGTGTCAAGCCTGAACAGATGCGTGATTGCTTCCATCACGTAGTCAACAATGAACCTCCACTCGACGGTGCAGTTCAATGGCACCCCCAGAGTATCTTGACATTCGTAAGCTCCGTTCCTTAAATCCGTAGTACTAGTCGTTCCATTTGGAAGCGCCATGAGCAAGGTATCCTTCTCGATGCACGTTCCTCCCCTAACTACGTTAATGACAAGCGCTTGAGGTGGGTCGTACTCGCTTAAGGATACCTTACTCATTAGAATGAGAGCAAGCGGTGGTAGCCACGAACTTAGGGAGATCAAGAGGTGCTTTAACCAACAAGTCGTTTCTTTGTCGACAGGATGGACCTTTCGACCCCCGATGCATCCGAAGCCCTCAAAGATTCCAGCCGCATCGTACTGCTTGCATCGACCACTCCAGCAGCATCAGCTACCTTGCACGGGACTCTAGCAGCCAATCAAGCAGTCCGGAGCTACGCAGCGGTCCACTTCAAAGGCCGGGTTCCCGCCTTCGGTGACATCAGAAACGTCCCAGCGGCTGTCCCTCCTCCACCAAATGCAGGGGGCGTGCGTGGAGGGCGCCCTTCCTATGCCGCCAAGCAGGGGGGCGCCGACTTCTCGTTCGACTATGGACTCGCCTTCAGCTTGCGGCCTGCCGGGGCCTTTGATCGAGGCGGATTCGGCTCGACGTGCATCGGGCGCACGTGCGGCGGGAAGGGGGCGGTCTACACTCGGAGGAGCGAACCCTTCATCTGGGAGCGGAAACGAAACCGAGGCGGAGCAGTCATCTGTCGAGGTGGTGGAGGGCATCTCCTTTGCCTTCGATGCGTGGAGGCCCAGTACAAAGAGGGGAACCCCTTCGTTTCCAGCGCGAGCGAAGGGCCCGTTTCTCAGCAAGAGCTCTTCACCAAGTACGAAGTGTTTCCCAAGACGAAAGAGCTTCGAGAGGTACGGTCAGGGGAGGTAGGGAGCGAAGGCGGCCACCAATTCTTTGTGCAGAGGAGGGACCTCGCCCCCTGCCCGTACTGCTGCGAGCCCAAGGTGGCCGGTCCGTCAAGGCGCGGTGTCATGAGAGCGCTGGAAGAGGGGCCGAGCCCACGGGAGCTCGGCACGGTGGCGATCCTATCGGAGTTGAGTCGGAGCAAAGTCCCTCCGATTGCGGTTGCCCCCGGCCTTTTCCTTTTGCCCCAGCTCGACGCCCCCAGCGGGCGCCTTCTGGACATTTTTGCCACGGATCGGGGGCTCGTCAACGCTCCCCGACTCGTGAAGGTCGACCACATGGGCAGCTTCCGGTGCCTGTGCGGTCAGAAGGCGTGCCGTGACCACGACGTGGGATTCTTGGAGGCGACGCGTCTCATGGGCGGCTGGTGGCAAAACGGAGAGGCCATCTTCACGGCCTTTGACGACAGTCGTCCGTTCGTGCGGGAGGTCACGAGCGGTGTGTCTTGGGTGTTGCCGCTAGACCAAGGGGGGTGCGTGGGGGGTGCTCTCTTTGGGTTAGACGCGGAGGCGTGGAAAGGCGGGCCGCAGCTCCGAGTGTTTGTTGTGAGCAATCCTAAGGAGAAGCCCGTGGTTTGCGTGCTTGTAGGAGAGAATGCGCACTGTGGCGAAGTCGACTGCACGGGTCCAAAACGGTGCCGGCACCTTTTGGGCGTGCTTTCGAATCAATCTCTGCCTCTGATTGAGCGCGCCGCAGATGGAGGTGGGAGTGAGGTGACGCGGACCCTCGCTGAGAGACGGGCGGAGAGGGTCGGGCAGCGAGAAGCGCGGGCAAGGCGGCTCTTGGTCTGCAACGACTCCGTGTGCCGACGACCCGACTCAAAGGCCGTCTGCACGCATGGAGGTACGCTCGAGGCTTGGGAGTGTCTCTCCGCTGCGGTGCTCGACATGGGACATAGCCACAAGAGGATAAGTACGGTCATGAGCCGTGGGGGGAGAAGTGTCACGAGCTTGTGCGAGCGCTGGGGCGACCGGGGTGTACGAGAGAGGGACGAGGCAAAGCATTTCTGCGCCCCGCGACCCGTCAATCCGCTCTCACCGTGTGGCCGCGCATGGCAACTGGAGAGTAGGAACGGGGCTCTGACAACCGCGGGAGCGCGCTACCCGGTCACTACCTATCGAAGGGTCTGTCGACTGGCACCGGGACGCGAGGCGGCGTGCTGCTCAGTAGCCTACGACGGCCAGGTGCGTCCAAACCCCTTTGTCGTACAGATTTCTCCATCGCCGCTGCGCGCATTTTTTGTATTGTTGGTATGCCGCTTCCGAAGGTAGCAAAGCATTGTTACTGAGGTAGTCAAACTTGTACTTGGCTTTGACTACGGGCGAAAATTTTGCTTCGGTCGAGAATCCTTGTCGAGGCTCCAACGGTACCAGGCAGCGAAGGATGGACAATTGTTGGATTGCCTCCTCGTGAAAGATGCGCTCCAACTCTTGTTCACGGCTCTCGAGTTCCGCTCTGAGGTCAATGCTTTCGGTTGGATTGAGACCGGCCAGTACGGCTTGCGTCTGGAAGCATCTTCCGAGCTCTGCAAGGTCATGATAATGTTGGACAAGCCTCTCTCTTCGTTCCTTGATGACTTTTGCTCGTCGATCCTCCAGAGCACTGTTGAAGCCCGTTGGACCTCCTCGCTCTCGAACAGCAAGTACTTGCAGGTCCGACTCTCGATAGAAGCGGGTCTTGACGAAACCCGAAGGATGAGGAGCCCACTGAAGTGAAGAAAGGTCCTTGATTTGGTACTTTCGTCGGGCCTCTGCTGTGGTCAAGCAGTCGAGCGCGCGGTGCATTCCAAAGTTCACACAGCTTAAGGAGAATGGCAAGCCCTTATGCGGTTGCATGGGCCATCGCAGTTCGGTCCAAGCATTGTCGCATACTGTGCAACACTCTCGAGGCCAAACGGTCTCAAAATGTAGCGGACCGGATGCGACGCTGTATGGAACCGGGAGCTCGTGCATCATCGTTCCGATAGCCGCGTGTGCATCTTTGCAGGTACACGCTGAAGCTGCCAAGTCCGGAAGACCGAGCAAGCCATTGTCACCGACCACGTTCAAAGCAAACGCAAATTTGTTGTTCAGAGCCATAACAGAGCAATATAATTAATTTGATCTACTTTGGACGCGCAACTGAGGTCAACTTCCTTTCTCATTGCAGGAAGACGGCATCTTCAACTTCTCCGGCACCAACCTCATCTCGCACGGACTCCTCTTGCGCAACCACTTTGCCGCAGCTCTGGGGGCAGCTCACAGCCTCAACTTTGAGGCGGGGGACATGGCCACAAGGTGCCTCGAGGGGCCCAGCGTCCCTAGGCTGGACGACCGGGTGTTTGACGCTGCCATGCAAGCCTTCAACGACCTCGCCGCGCGGCCTCGAATCCAGCACGTCTGCAACCGTCTTGATTGCGCACACCTCTATACCTCAGAGGTGCGGGCCGCCGAGGTAGAAGCGGAGGCGGCTGGCAAGCCTCTTGCGCCGGAGCGGACCGAGGGGTCTCCTGTTGAGCTGTCGACCTACGCCTTCTGCCGCGACAAAGTCATCACGTTCGATGGGACATTCTTCCCCAATTCGAGCGCCATGCGCGATAGCGCGGAGGCGACGCTCCACAGCGTCTGCGAGCCGGACCCAGAGGCCCCTATGGTTCGAGGAGGTTTCACTCCTCTGAGCGTAGGCGGAGTGCGGCCATCCGACGTCCCTCTGGAGGGCATTGACGGACCCTGGAAGTACAGGAACGGGCTGTCAGAGCTTAGGCCGGCCGTTCGAACTGCGGCCCTTCGGTGGTGCAACTTCCGGAAGGCGGCCGCCCAAGGGAGCAACCTGCCGCTCTCGGCCGACGAGTTCGTGGCGATGCGGGAAGGTTTGCCGCCTCACGTGAGAGCCCTCTTGGATTTTGCCACCGAGTCGGTAGCGTGCCCCAACCCCGCCGACTGCGCGACTTGCAGAGCGGTGCCTCGCCGCCCCTGGATGGACGGGGTGTTGAAGAACGGTCCCGTAGCGCCCACGGAATGGTGTCCGACCCACTTTCAATCGTACGCGGCACTCCTGCACGCTCTGCTCATCCCTCGGTACAGCTGGGTGTTTGGCCACATCGTGGCGCTGAAGCTGCTAAGGCACGTGTTGCTCGAAGGAGCGCTCGACGAGCGGGGGCTTGCGTACCTCACAAACGATGCCCCGATGCTGGCGGCAATCCTTCGAAGGCACCCGACGAACGAAGGGCCCAAGCAGTACTGCTTTCCCTCGGCGCTACGGCCTCTCATGCGCGACATCTACGCGGCCAATCTACTATGCTTTGAGCCGACTGCCAACCGCCCCGGGGCATCGCTTCGATCCCCTTTGGCGGCCCTCTATGACGCCACTGAGCATCTATGGGCCCTTGAGAGTGAGAAACTCCGATCATTGGGCAACTCTGGGGAGGCCGCCATTCTCTATGCGGAACAGCGCGGCGCGGCGCTCAAAGGGGCTGCGAATTCTCGCTTGTTCGACCTGGAGGTGCGAGAACCCCAGTGCTACACACCAAACGGCTTCCTTAGAGAGCCCTCCGCTGTTTATAGGGACCGCGTCGGGGCCGTCTCGCTGTACGACTTCCATCCTTTGCTTTATGGGCGGCCGCAGTTCACAGACTGGGAGGACACTTCGGGTCGAGGGAGAAAAGGCTCGGAAGAGCGGCTGGCGCAGCACTGCGGGGCTCCCACTCCTCGGTCGGCAAAGGGCCGTGCTGGAATGTTTATCGCGTGCTGCCAAGACCGAGCGCCGCTGGGCTATCACTGGCTTAAGGGAGGCGAGAGCGTATCCGACCTCGGCACCGTTCTGATCACACGCTTCCCGTTCAAGACGCTCCGTGGACTGACGATAGTCGAGGATGCCGCTTGCAATGCGCAAGAGTGGCTCTTGAATCGGTGAGTATTGATTTTGCTTAATTTGATTGAAAATTCAATTCAAGGTGCCAGCACTGTGGCAAAGGCTCGATAAATCGTTTTCAAGGAACCATCGTTTTAGTGCAATCAAAGTTTATTTGTTCAAGGTTTAACCATCATTTGCAAATTGCTTGCAGGGTGCCTCAGCTGGCAAAGTTCATGCTATTCGTTGTCGATCGGTTTCACTCGGGACCCGTGAGCTGCGCGCCGGCCGGAGCCGCTAAGCGCTACGCAACGCACACTTGTTCGCCGACGCTCTTCATCGATTCGTACCCTCAGCACGAGGCGACAGTGACAACCGCTAGCGAGGGCCTGAACTCGGGCCTGAAGCGCTCGGCGGCTAGTTTGCAGCAGATCACGAGCATCAGGCGGCTGATGAGTAGAGTCACGACCATCCTCGACACGCTGTTTGAGCGTTTAAAGTACGCGGACTATTGGAGTGAGACTAGCAGCCCGTTAAGGGACTCAATTCGGAGGGGCCGTGGTTGACATTCAGTTTCATTACTCATTACTCATTACTCATTACCCACTTCCAGAAGGCCCGGATTGATTTTGTCTTTTTTGCATGTGGGAAAGGTCTCTAACTTCCAAAAGCATGGTAATCGCGTAATAGAGTAATAAGTTCTATTTTATGAACACGTTCATGGGTTCTATCATGTTGTGTGTATGTATAAACCTTGGGTAATATGAGGGTAATAAGCTTGTTGGTACTTATTGATCATCAGAAGGTCTATCGAGTGTGCTTGAAGGCACCACTACGCGCCCAAATTCGTCTCTTCTGACCACACACACATGATAGTTCGAGCAGTACGAACATGCAATCGACTGTTGCAGCTCTTTCAAATCACCTTGAGGGTTCTTGAACGCTATCCATGGGCCCTCTTGGTCTTCTTTGTAGTCGTGTCGCTGCCAAGTATCCACCCATTCGACGGTCGAGCTCCAGAGTTTGCCGTCGTGGAGCGCCTTGCAGATAGCGTTTTGTGGTGGGAACCACCATCCCTTGTGCGTTCGCACTTGCTGGATGCTGCGTGCTTGCGGCCTCATGTTAAAGATGGCACTCAAAGATTTCATCAAGACGTTGACGTCAACATGGCGATCCTCCTTAATGTCTAGTTGTGCTAAGAAGATGTCGAATGTACGCTTGATATCCACGGATGCAACCCATGTTTCCAAATAAGGATGAAAGCACCCGTTTTCAAGCAACGCTTGAATCATTTTCACATGCGAAGGGATAGAGTGGTCCTTCAGACCCTCTCCCCATGCCGTGATTGGTACCTTCTTGGGATCCCAATCAGAAATGTCAATGGATGACAGATATTGATGGAAGAAAAAGGCCGTCTCTGGCTTTCGAAGCTCCTCAAGAAGCTCGTCAAAGTACTGTTTGTTTCCTACCTTGGCACCCGAGCATTCCTGACAAGAATATCGCCGGTCATCGGCCTCTCGTTTGACAGGCCATGCATTGTTTGTTGTAAACACGATGTTGCTCCTGTCTTGTACGGAGATTGCATCGAGTCCTTTCCTTTCGAGGCACGTTGTCTCTTGAGTAATCAGAGACTTCATTCTGTCGTTCATCTTGTACGCTCCCCCCCAGTTGCCAGCTTCGTCAAGAACAATCAGCAGCTTGTTTGCCCCAAGGGAATTGAACTGACCAATGATCTTTTCAATCTCGTTACAATACAGATAATTCTTGCTGCCAATGATGTTGATCCCATAAAAGTCAAGCGGCACTGATTTCCCGCATCCCTGGGGCCCACGAAACACGAGAGCCACCTGAGTCTTTTGCCAGGGCCTCTGAACCCCATGGGCCATCCACCTGGTATTGTATTCAAACCGTTCAGCAGATCCATCGCACAAAATGTAGCGAATGTGCCACATAAGCCTTGGAAATTGCTTTTCGCACTCGGCGCGCTCAGAAGCTGACAACTTGCGCTGCAGCGGTGCAAAATTCAAACCACAGAATATGTTGAAGTGTCGGGGCGAGACCTTGGATAGCTCAGGCCCAAACACAATCTGGTCGAATTCGCGTCGCTTTGGACTGCTTTCCCAGAACTTGGCAACTTCCTTTCTCTTGCCGGGCAGGCAATGGAGTTGTAGATTCTTGCAGCGTTCAATAAAATTGTGGCCCGACCTTTCGATAGTTTCCTCACGTTGGAGACAGCCATTTGTGTTTTGTGAGTAGATGGTCTCAATATAGATCGCCTTTGATGTGCCGACAACGACGGCAAAATAATGACTCATCATGTTTACCACGAGGTTTTCTAGGTCCGTTTTTGCTTGTTTGGTACAATCGTCATTGCCTTTTGCCTTTGATACAGGGAGCAAATAACTTTCGCAAGCACTAATGAAGCTCCCTTCTGCCCTCAACGGTAAACTTTCCGGCCAAAAGTGGACGCCAAGCAGTCGCTTTGGTTGATCAATGCACTCCGCACTTAGACATTGATAGAGAAGAATCCCTCCATTGCTGAGGATGCTGAAGTTGTTTGAGATGTGTTGGTGGCCGTTCAAGCACGTTCGAGTGCCTATTGTCTTGAATTTGAGAATCCTCCATCCATTTGGAGTTTTTTCTCCGACACCGTTGAAGATGCTACAGTCATTTGGTACCTTTGCGTGTAGCATCTTCCTTATGTCTTTGAGTGCTCGTTCCAAACCCGGCAAAACCAGCTTGTCATGCACGTCACTAGATGATGCTTTCGCTTTTGGCATTGCTTCCTCTTTCGCAAATGGCCTTGTAATGGCCCCACATCCATACGAATCGCTTTCATTTGGAGATTTAACCGTCTTCTCTTCCTCGTCTTCCTCTTTTCCGCTATGCTGTTTGCAATCATTTAGTATTCTGACTAGCCATGAAGGCATGTCTTGGACAGCATCAAAGGTTGGAGGCCCGTTGATCCACTCATATGTTGCGAGCTGGCCACGACCATTGACGTAGCTCGCAGGGTGGGCAAAGACAACACCCTTTCCGCCTCTCCCATCAACCGCAAAAGTCTCATCGCCAACCGTTAAGGTTGAGAAGTTTCCAGTGCACGTAAGCCCTGGCGAATTTGCTTTGAAGAAAAAGTGTTTTCCGCCCGACCCTGTCTTTGCCTGAAGCGTTGTGGGCTCCCCATGCTCGGCAATAAGACGACGCCACAACTCCATGCCCGACTTCTTTGTGGTATCAATAACTTCTTTGACGGTGTTGCTAGTAACGTCTATATCCACCGCATAGATCCCACTTGCACCCGTGAGTATCGCAACGCCGTTGGCGTCTGGCCTCTGGCGTAGTGCGTCATTGATGGAGTTTTGCCACGTGTCGAGGTCTTTAATGTGCTCGTATGTGCGAGGAAATCTAGGATATTTTCTCCCCTTGTTCTTATCCCAAGAGAGGTGCACGGGGATTGCGAGGAGGCCACCTTCACAAAGTCGTAAGATCTCGTCTTTAATGCTCTGGGGTCCTGGACCATTGACCCTCTGTGAAACTTGAGGCCCGAAGCCGCTGACCTGCTCATTGCCAGATACAGACATGTCCTTGAGTCACATAAGGAAAAAAAGCGTGTTGAACAAACGCACCACAATTGGGCTGCGGTCGAGGCATTGCGCAAAATAATCTCAACTAACAACAGGACTCGACAATGGTCCATCAAATCGAGGAAGGATTTTCGGAAGTGTCCAACGAAATTCTAGGAAATTTTCCATGCCCATGTCGAGCGTGCCACAAACACAGACAATACGCCAGATTGAATCCGGAGAAGCATAATGCAAACATGAGGGCGTACTACCACAGGCATCAGGAGACAATACTACTATGCAAGGCGTACAAAAGGTACCTGAGTGGTCAAACGAACAAACTTCATGAGACCACCGCCCGACGGTTGATTGCTGCCGGATTTGATGTTCCTCAAATGGTCTCTTTGGGCACGATACACAAGGGTAATGCACCTACGGTGCCTTTAGGCGTCTTTACTAGCATCGAAGTATCCTGAAGCATTTGGCAGATTACCAATGGAACGCAGAACGCAGATTGTCAAAATTGTATCTTGGATCCGCAAGGGAGGTACTTTTTTTCATAATGTTTTTGTGCAACAGCGGCGGTGTGCAGCATGCTTCGCGCAAGATCGTCCCGTTCGGCAATGCTTGGAGCATCCTTGAAGAGATTGCTCACACAGATCTTCCGCAGCAAGCAACTACCGACCTTTGCGTCTTTGAAGAGGCCAGTTGAGCAAAACTTGGTGAGATAATTCCTACTCATCGGCTTATCCGGCGATCTCATCCGAGACAAGAGGTACGTTCTAGGAAAGACTTGCAAGCTTTCAGCAATGACGTTGTTGCATCGGGTGCTCATATCTATTGAAGTAGGTCCATGGTGCTTAACGGTTTTAAAGTCCTTCAGTACGAGACGAAACTGGTCTTCTGCAAACTCCAGCATATAGTTTTCTGACCCCGACATTGTTTTACATGCCTCAGTGGTTTCGATGTCCTCAAAGCGGATGATCGGGCACTCTGAGTAGTCGTTGCGGATTGCAGGCTGATACGTGAAGAGACAAAGGTTCAAGTGACGGATCAGAATTATCTTGTCCTCAATAGACAAGTCCTCGGGTGACTTGACTAGAATCTTTCTATTTACATGCCGTTGTAGCTCGACTCTTCGTTCAGCTATTTCATCGAGTGTCTTCCAATTGGTGGCTTCTCTTTCTGTCAACACCTGTGGAGGCGGCCGCGCCTCATCCATCAACTTGCGAACCGCTGTGTATCGTGCGTAATAGACGTCGTACGACGATTTGTTATCAGGAAACGCTTTGCGCACAATGACTAGCAATGGGTTTAACCCGGTCGCTTGCATGGATAGCTTGGTGGGGTATGTGTCTTGAAAGTACTTAATAATCGCATCAGCATCCTTGATCCAATCCACGCTACCAAAGTCCCTTTCTCGATGCAACCCTTGAAACAGACGCATCACATGCTTGCAATATTGCTGGATCGTGAGCTTCTTTCGGCCACCGTCATCAAACACTTGGCGTAGCAGCCGTTCACTAGTGGTCACCGTGGTTATGTGCCTTGTGCCTTTGGTGGGCTCCGACATCTTCCAGTTATCTGGATACCTCGGAGAAAAAAATGACCAAGGAAACGCTTCCCTTCTCAGATATTGTGAATTTCAGAGGTCGGAATTGCTTTCACCAATCAGGGACCGGTAAAAGCTTTTCATGGTTATATTGGTTATGAAAAGCTCCTGCAAGCCGACTTTACACCAGGTGTGTTTAGTCTATTTTCGGCCGAAAAGTTACTAGCGCTAGATACTGTGAATATGCTTGTACAAGAATTACTGAACGGGGTCTTTTAAGCAAGTCCGTTATCCGAGGGAGGCGTCTTCTTGGCATTCGTGGCTTACGCGAGCCTTATCTTTGTTTAAAAGCATGTCAAGACCTAAAATTGGCTCATCATCATTCGTCCAAGCAACACTCGGGGCATAACGTGGAGACTCGTAGCAAGTCTCATGCTGTTTGCCAACCATCGGGATAGGGCTCTCGTCCCTATGCAAAAGCTTCCGTGCCTTGGACCGCAGATGGCGTGCCTGGCTTCTAGCACGTTGCGCATTGTTTAATGCAACTCTCCAATCCACTTTCACTCCGTAAGGGCCGTTAAAGCCGGACTTGTCCCAAAATGCATTAAACCCTTCGGCAACCAACGATCGCACTAGCGCTCTAGTTATGTGACGGAGGTTGAACGGCTCGGCTAGTGCTCGGATGCCGCCAAGAGCTGCAACATCGAGTATAGTTTCGAGCAACCCGAACTCTTTGTAAGATCTTAAAATTGCGGATCTCGCACTCTCGAGGACGGCTCGATCCATTTGCATGATGGCAATATGGGATTGGGGGCGATACCCAAGAATTGCATCCATTCAAACCGTTGAAGTACCGTTCGCAAAGAAAATTCACAATGTACCATTGCACACAGCCGTTTGCTGCTTCTACTCGGTATCCTGATCATTCACGAATCTCGTATACGCCTTTGAAATCTTGAACTTCCGCTCAAGATGCTCCTAGTTCGTGCTTTTGCAGCTGATAACGGAGGGTAACATGCGTGCGTGGGTGGTTAGGCGCGCACATACCAACTTGGCAATTGAGGCGAATGATATA